GCACATTTGAGGAATATGAGTTTGCATTAAGTCAATTTTGACTATCTAGCATGGTAGTTTTCAACAAATAAAAAAAAAAATAAAAAAAATAGGTGCATGTCTTTTAAAAGAAATTTTAATATTCAGGGTAGTCGCAATATGCAACTATAAAATGTATCATTAAAATAATAATTCATCTACTCACAGCTGTGAAAATTCAAGGTTTTCCCCTCTTGAAAACGGTCAGGTAAATTTTTATCAAGTCTTATTTTTATGTATGTTTACATACATAAACAAATTGAGTAATTGCATACGATTTTTTTTTTCCATGAATCAATAAATTCAAAAAAAGAAAGGGGGGTCCGGGGGTTCTCCGCCGGGAAAATTTTGATTCTTGAAGGCGGGAAATAAGCTTTCCCGACTTCTGAGGTGTCGTTTAATTACTTTTTATTTCTTCAAAATTCAATTTTTTCCCCTCTTGAAAATGATTTAATGAATCAATGAATTCCGAAGAAAAAGGGTGTCCGGGTTACCCCGGAAATATTTCGATTTCTAGAATGCGGGAAATGAGCTTTCCTGACTTCTGAAATGTCTTTTAAAATGACTTTTTAAGTTCTTCAAAATTTAAGGTTTTTCCCTCTTGAAAACGATCAGGTAAATTTTTCTCATGTCTTATTTTATGTGTGTATACATACATAAATAAATGAGTAGTTGCACGCCTATTCTTTTTTCCATGAATCAATAAATCCCAAAAAGAAAGGGTGGTCCGGGGATTATCCCCTGGGAAAATTTTGATTCCTAGATGGCAGGAAATAAGCTTTCCCGACACTGGAAGTGTGTTTTAATGACGTTCTATGCCACCGTAGTCAGGTGGCACGGGTTGTGTATCACAGCAGTTGCATTTCCATTTCCCGTCCTTCTTTATTGTTTTGCTTGATTCTTTTTTTTTTTTTTTTTTTTGTTGGCCAAGGGAGGGGTCAGGACCCATTACCCCCTCCCCCAGATCCGCCAATGTGAATCGCGAAAAAATTTAACTCGGTTGGGGAATGGATAAACATTCTCTTTCCCATCCTTCGCCTCCTTCCTTCTTTCATTTCTTGCATTTCTTTTCAATCATACAAAAATCTCCAGACATTATATATTTTTTGCCAAAAAGTGGGGGTCCCCCCCCCCGGTTCCGCCGGCCCGTTAAACACTGTGGGTGAAAGTTTTTTGCATCTAATCCCCATTCTAATATTTAAAAAAGGGCCCAGAAATCAATTAAGACAATCAGCTGTTGAATGTAGGTCTAAAGTCACTCACCCCAATGGCAATAAATCGTGCTTTATTTAGGCTAGCTAGGCCTAGCCTAGCCTAGATGAGACCCTAGCGCCCCGCCTATGGCCTAGGCTAGCCTACCTACAGCATTGAAGATCACTAGTGTTTAATTATTGAATATAAAAGTTCTATTGAATTAAAACATATTGAATTAAAATGTTCTACCAGATTGAACGATCAAACTGGTGTACGGTAAGAATGGCCCCGGAAAAAATGGCCCCGGAAAAAAAGGCCCCGGAAAAAATGGCCCCGGTAAAAATGGCCCCATATGACAGGTAGGTAAAAATGGCCCCAATAATCAAATTCTGTATTAAAACTGATTTTCTTGAGTCAATATATGCATTTTTTTATCTTAAATAATTTAGTTTTTAAAAGGAATCTAACATCAAAAAAATTGCCATTTACATTTTACTTTTTGCAAGAATTAATATTCAATGATAAAATATTCAAAGATATATAAAAAGCCATGAATTACACTTTTTATTTTTTTCCCATTTAAATGTTAAAAAGCAACAACATAATCAATAAATCAACATAAATCATGCATTTATTAATACTAAAATAATTTACTTGTGGCTGATTTCACGGAAGCGAAATCACAATTTTCCAAAAATTCAATCTGTGTATTGGTAAACCCCAACAA